CCAATCGGAGCTGCGCGCCGCCAATTCCTTCGAGAGCAAGGAAAGCAGACCAACGTCGCCTCATAATGTCTCGTCCCCTACACAGCCATGGGGAAACTCTCACAACTATCTTTCCGTGCCAGTAGCCCGGTCGCGAGGTAATTCTCTCGACTCGACCACCGAAAATGCCGAGTCCGCATCTACTGGAACCTATATACCCTCGTCCCACGGCGAGACATTAAGGTCCGAATCTAATAATAATGACATTCTCAACGACGAGGATGCTCTTCGTCCTGATCCCGGTACAGAGGCCGACTTTGAAGTCGATAACAACAAATTCGCCTTTTCACCCGGTCAGCTGGGCAAACTATACAATCCCAAGAGCTTAGGAGCTTTCCACGCACTGGGTGGTATAGATGGCTTGGAGAAGGGACTCAGAACCAGCAGGAACGCTGGTCTTAGCGCCGACGAGATGCACTGGGACGACGCCGTAAGCTTCGAGGATGCCACCATGCCCAAGTCTATTCAAACTCCTTCAAGGCAGTCTCCGGATCAGGATGTACAGCGAGCCGAAACTACCCCAGCCGCACCTAGCAAAGAGGCCTTCTCCGACCGAAGACGAGTCTTCAGCGACAACCGGTTACCCGAGCGCAAACCCAAGAGTATCTTCGAGTTGGCTTGGATGGCATACAACGACAAGGTTCTTCTCTTACTTACTGGCGCGGCCGTGATTTCCCTTGCCCTTGGACTATACCAAACCTTTGGTCAGAAACACGAGCCCGGAGAGCCCAAGGTCGAATGGATTGAAGGAGTAGCCATCATGGTCGCCATCGCCATCGTCGTCATCGTTGGTGCAGTGAACGATTGGCAAAAAGAACGACAGTTTGTCAAACTCAACAAGAAAAAGGACGATCGTGTCATCAAGGTCGTCCGTTCAGGCAGGACTCGCGAGATCTCCGTCTACGATATCCTTGTCGGAGACGTCGTCAAGCTGGAGCCCGGCGACATGGTTCCCGTAGACGGTATCTTGATCCAAGGCCACGGCATCAAGTGCGACGAATCCTCGGCCACTGGCGAGTCCGACTTGCTCAAGAAGACCGCTGCCGACGAAGTCTTCCGTGCCATGGAGAACCACGAACCCGTCAAGAAATTGGATCCCTTTATTCTCTCCGGCGCAAAGGTGTCCGAGGGTGTAGGCTCCTTCCTCGTTACCGCTACCGGAGTACACTCGAGTTACGGCAAAACCATGATGTCTCTCCGCGAGGATAGCGAAGTCACCCCCCTACAGTCCAAATTGAACGTTCTTGCCGAATACATTGCCAAACTTGGTGGTGCCGCCGCTCTGCTTCTTTTCGTCGTGCTCCTCATCGAATTCCTGGCCCATCTCAAGAGCAGCCAGGCTACCCCTGCCGAGAAGGGTCAGAACTTTCTCAACATCCTCATCGTTGCCATCACTGTTGTCGTCGTTGCTGTTCCCGAGGGGCTGCCTCTGGCTGTGACCCTCGCTCTGGCTTTCGCCACCACACGCATGCTAAAGGACAACAACCTCGTCCGTTTACTTCGATCTTGCGAAACCATGGGAAACGCCACTACCATTTGCTCCGACAAGACCGGCACCTTGACGCAGAACAAGATGACGGTTGTGTCTGGATCTCTTGGAACCGCTCTCCGCTTTGGAGATAAGAAACCCAAGGCTCCGGTGGAAATGCCTGCCATGGATGACGGCGCCAAAGGCAAATCAACAGTGGACAACTCGGACGACGTATCCGCTACCGAATTCGTTTCCACCCTCAGCAAAGAGGCCAAGGATCTGTTGGAACAATCGATTGTGCAGAATACGACTGCTTTTGAAGGCGAAGAAGGTGGTCCTGATCCCTTTATCGGCTCCAAGACGGAAACGGCTCTCCTTGGCTTCGCTCGCGACTACTTGGGCATGAGCTCCGTCGGCACCGAACGCGCCAATGCGAACGTGTTCCAGGTCATCCCCTTCGATTCGGCCATCAAGTGCTCCGGAGTCGTCGTCAAGCTCAACGACGGACGCTACAGACTCTATGTCAAGGGTGCTTCCGAGATCCTTCTCTCCAAGTGTCAGAGCATCATTTCCGATGCCACAAAGGAACTCACTGGCATGCCCATTTCGGCTGAAGATCGCGACACGCTTGAACGCCTCATCACCACCTACGCTTCCCGGTCGCTGAGAACCATAGGCCTCGTGTACCGTGACTTTGAGAGTTGGCCACCCCGGGATGCACGTAGGAATGAGGATGATCCCAGCCAAGCAATCTTCACCGATGTGTTCCAGAACATGGTTTTCCTCGCCGTTGTCGGTATCCAGGACCCTCTGCGACCCAGTGTGCGAGATGCGGTCAAGGATTGTCAACACGCAGGTGTCTATGTGCGCATGGTCACGGGTGACAATGTCATGACCGCCAAGGCCATCGCAGAGGATTGTGGTATCCTGGTTCCTGGCGGAGTCGTCATGGAGGGACCTGCCTTCAGGAAGCTCTCCAAGCGCGAGATGGACGCCGTCATTCCCAAGCTCTGCGTCCTCGCTCGTTCCAGCCCAGAAGACAAACGCATTCTCGTCAAAAGACTCAAAGAGCTTGGCGAGACGGTAGCCGTTACTGGCGATGGCACCAATGACGCTCCTGCTCTCAAGACCGCCGACGTTGGTTTCTCCATGGGTATCGCCGGCACAGAAGTCGCAAAGGAGGCCTCGGCTATCATTCTCATGGACGACAACTTTGCCTCGATTGTCAAGGCCCTGCTTTGGGGTCGTGCTGTCAACGACGCCGTCAAGAAGTTCCTCCAGTTCCAGATCACCGTCAACATTACCGCCGTCTTTCTCACCTTTGTCTCTGCTGTTTCAAGCCCCGACCAGGCATCGGTTCTCACTGCCGTTCAACTTCTCTGGGTCAATCTCATCATGGACACGTTCGCTGCCCTGGCTTTGGCCACCGATCCACCCACACGGTCCCTTCTTGACCGACTCCCAGATCCCAAGACTGCCCCGCTGGTTACGTTGAGGATGTGGAAGATGATCATTGGACAGGCCATCTATCAGCTGGTCGTTACCTTTATCCTCTACTTTGGCGGCAACTCGATCCTCAACTACGACACTGACGACGAAAAGAAGACTCTTAATACTCTGGTGTTCAACACATTCGTCTGGATGCAGATTTTCAACGCCATCAACAATCGTCGCCTGGATAACCGATTCAACATCTTTGAAGGCATCTTACACAATTGGTTCTTCATTGGCATTTTCCTCATCATGATGGGTGGTCAGACTCTCATCATCTTTGTTGGCGGTGTCGCATTCCAAGTAGAGCACATCAACGGTATCCAATGGGCCATCTCCATTCTTCTGGGATTCCTTTCGCTCTTCGTTGGCGTAATTGTCAGGCTGATTCCGGATGAACTTGTTCGCCGATGCATTCCCAACTTCATGAAGAGGAAGCAGACTCCAGAACTTGTCGTGTCTGATGATTACCAGTGGAACCAAGGTCTTCTGGAGCTCCGCGAGGAGCTTGCCTTTATCAAGAAGGTTCGTGGAGGACGTCTCAGCCACCTGAAATTCAAGGTTCAGCATCCACGCGAGATATTCTCCAGGTCAAGGTCGAGCCATTCTCTACCCGCAACTCCCAACAACGGTTCGACCAACGATGCGGAAGGCTCCCCCGCCCCCCCAACGCCAGTCAGCCGGCACAAAGGAAGATCCCGGTCCAACTCGGCTTTCGGTCCGGCTGCTGTTATGGCGGGTATTGTTGCTGGCAGTATCGGTGGATGGTCTCCGATTGACCGACCTGCAGGCGACAACGACTCGTTGAGATTCTCCCGCAAGGCCAGCAAAGCCGATCTCGAGGCGCAAGAGGGCATCGAAGTGCACCCCGACACCAACGCCAACGAAGCGATCCCCGCTCCTCCGCCCAATGAATATCATGGTGCACCAAGTCAGAACAGCGAGACGACACCGAGCTTCAATGTCGGTCTCTTTGCTAAAGACTCGGGAAAGACACCGGACTCGTGAACAAACGAATGAACCTTTTGGCTTTTGCATAATACCCCAACAACCCCCATACACTCGCGTCCCACAACTTGCATGATCCCTTCCTTTGTGTTATTTGTCTTTTTTCCTCCCCCATTATACACTGTTTTATCATATCGGGGGCGGCATTGCACGGCGTTTTAGGTGTAGCTCATGCCGTGGAGCATAGTAGACGGCGGCACATTGGGTTTCCTTGTTCTGAATAATCGTTTGGGCTTCGCCCTACATGCACATGGCTTGCTTTTCCTTCCTGTCTCGGATTCGGTGTCTGGCATGACTGGCCCGGTTTTGTATTTGTATTTCTTTGTGCTGGGTGGACGACGTCTATTCGCCATGGGAAGATTTGTGGTGGCAACTGAGACAGAGTGTGGCATGGCGTTGTTGGGGACGGGATAAAGAAAAAGGCATTGGTCGAAAGCAAGCATGCGGTATAGACCAGCTAATACTTATTATCCAAGTAATCTCTTGAATACTGTACCTTGCCCTGTGCTCATCTGTGACCTGTGACATGTTCATGCTCGATTCCTTGTGTCGCATATTCGACCGGCGTGCTCGCCATGGATTACTCCATTGAGGATGATGATTATTATCAGGAGGGTTGTGCATTTCTACTTGCATTTGCATTTCCATATCCATTTCCATACTTTCCTCACTTTCCTCTCTCTATTCATGGAATGATGAGGTGCGGTGGTGATGGCAATTGGTCTTATTTATGTGCCTTTGTTTGTTTAGTACGTGAGTAGAAAAAAGAACATTATATGCTGTGCAATGGAATGAATAATATTATTCACTGTCAGAACGACATACATGCATATTATCAGAAAAAAAAAGACACATCTTGCTTACCAAAAAAAAAGACACATCTTGCTTACCAACAAAAAGGAAGCATTCCGACCACGGGGTTACACAAGCTTTGTTTGCCCAAGACGAGGCCAAAAAAAAGAAAACAAAAAAAAGGCAAAAAAGAAAGATTTGACCCTACAGCGATTTGAACGCTGAACCTTCAGGTTTTTCCAATTGAGAACTGGAATCTGACGCGCTACCATTGCGCCATAAGGCCAGTTGTTCTGATTGATGTTATTTCTTGAAAATGAAGGGTATATATACGATACACTCGCCTCTGCGCGAGAGACCAGAATATATCCCACCATGAGGAGAGAAGAGGGGCGCATGGCTCACGGCAGGGTGAAGAGGTAATATTGAGTGGGTGGGGTCAGTGCAGCGTGGGGTGGGTCATACCGGCCCTTTTTTAAAATAGCGTCTAACGAGGCACTTGCACCAACACGATCGATGCCATCCTACTACTACGTGCTGATACATAATTACATACATACATACGCATACATACCATACAAGGTAAATCACCAATCACCAACGACTGCAAAAAAGATATTAAAAAAAAATGTCCACCCAAAATCGCGCCCCTGCTGCCAACGGAACCCCGTCTACACAGGCGTCGGAACCCTCCTACTTTGACCAACAGCGCGACATGCTGGTGGGCGAAATCGCAGTGGTGAGTAGTACCGTCTTCCTAGATGGAATCCACACCTTTCAACCTTGTCGGGCGAATTGACTGATTGCGGGTAATATATACAGAGCCTCGAGAAGGTGCTCCAAAATCTAAACAAACTCAATCGGTCCCTCGAAGAAGTCATCGGCGTTGGCAACGAGTTCTCTCCTGTCGAAGCGCTATGGAGCCAGTTCGAGAATGTCATGGCCAAGGATCCGGCCGAGAATGAGGATGCGGGGCAGAGGGCACACGGTGATGAACATGATGATGATGATGAGGAGGAAGGGCAAGAGCAGGACCAGGACCAGGAGCAGGAGGAGCAGGAGGAGGCGGCGGAGGCGGATGAGACGGAGTATACCGAGCATGGGAAGTGAGAAGGGATGGGAACATTGACAAATTCCTGGGTTCGGCGTTTTGAGTCATGGGATGACATGGGATGACATGGGGTGCAATGATTTAAATGATACCCAAGGCAAGGCATATATGAAAAGAAGCAGCACACAGTGGCAATGCAGACAGGAGGGTTGAAAGACGTCGTGTCACTGATCACCAAGACGGAGTGCTCACTGCGGCAAGAGCAAGAGCAAGAACAAGGGCAAACAGGCGGGATCATTGTCGATCAAGATTTGTTCCATTTGGGGCGGGGATGCAACATGCACCTCTACACACTACCAATTTACCGAATACAGACACAAAGAAAAAAAAAAGAAGAAGATGTGATGTGAGGAGAACGTTGACGACCAAGAAGCGGTCGCGCCCCCTTCACTCCCAGAAAACGCCCCAGTCATATATGTATGATATCCCCTTCAGAGTGGCAGCTCGCCCCGTGTCCCCAATTACTACTGCTATGCTCCAAAGGAATCTCTCGGAAAGTTGAAGGCGTCCATGATATGGTCATTAAGCATCTCGATCGTGTCGTCCGGCGTCGTGAATCTTGATAGTCCCGTCGTCGACAAAGGCGGCGGGCTGGGGTTGCTCAATACCACGGACTCTAAAGAAACGAAGGAGGTGCTTAGAGGACTTTGCAACCGGAACGCTTCTTGGGCTTCTTACCGCCTGCAAATGCAGATCGCGGCACGCCTGTCTCCTCGGGGGTCTTGTGCTCGTCACCCACGGCCATGGTCACGGCCTGGTCGAAGATGTCCTCGACGCCGTCCTGCTCCTTACTGCTGCACTCCATGTACATGGCTCCCATCTTCTTGGCGACGGCGCGACCTTGGTCGGGTGTGACGGGGGTCAGGCCTTGTGTCTTGAGCAGTTCGATGCAGTTCTTCTTGTTGCGGAGGTCGGACTTGAGGCCGAGGAGCATGATGGGCGTCGTGGGGCAGAAGTGAAGGACCTCGGGATACCACTGGTAACTCGTCAGTAAGGACACAAGAGGGTTGGATGCGCACGAGCCAACTCACCTTGTCCATGACGTTCTCGAGCGAGTTTGGGCAGTCAATGGCGAAGCAGACGAAGAGAATGTCAGTTTCAGGGTAGGAGAGCGGCCGCAGCCGATCGTATTCTTCTTGGCCGGCTGTGTCCCAGAGAGCAAGTTCGACCATCTTCCCCGTGGGCGGGTGTGGTGTGTGTGTGATGTAGTTTTCGAAGACGGTAGGTACATATTTCTACCCATGGTGAATTAATTTCAACGGTGTCAATGATGCGAGCAATGAATGATGCAGTGCGTACCTCTGGAAAGTTGCCCGAGCTGTAGCTGATCAACAAACAAGTCTTGCCGCACCCGCCATCGCCGACCACGACGAGCTTCTTCGAGTATGTAGGCGGTTCGGTGATGGCTGTGTCCCGCGTGGCCGTGGTCGCGTACGAGCTCACGGTGCCATTGCTATTTCGCTCGCTCGGTGTGCGGACGGGTTTGCGGACGGGTGTGACTGAGGATGCGTGGACCTTTGTTGACTGCTTGCGACGCAGGTAGTCGTAGTTTTGTGCGGGAGCATGGGCCGACATTGTGCGAATTGGATGCGATGGCGAGGCAGGCAGGCAGATGGGAGGAGATGGGAGGAGAGGGGAGGAGCAAGAGGGAGTGTGTGTGTGAGTGAGAGAGAGAGAGAGAGAGAGAGAGAGAGTGGAGGAAGCAGATGAAGGGCGGTATCAATATCTATGTGCTCGAGGTTGCAGCTCTGGATGGGTGGGTTGGGAGATGGAGGGGATGGAGGGGATGGAGGGGATGGAGGGAAGGGAGGGAAGGGAGGGGAATGTCGGGGGATTGTGGAACAATTGTGGGTAGTAGTCGAGGGTAATGGAGGGTAGTCGAGGTGGAGATGGGCAATGGCAGATGTTGATGATGGCGGCCGCGATGTTGCATGTTGCATGTTGAAATGTGTGCGTGTGTTTGTGTGTACAAGTATTTCTAAGAATAATTTAGTCGGGTTGGCTGGGTGACCAAGCGTTGCCCGTTCGTTTAGAGCTGCTTCAGTCACTCCAGGGTCGATCATCCATCATCTATCCATCAACCATCAACCATCAACCATCAACCATCATCCATCATCCATCAACCATCATCCATGGCCCCATGGCTCCCCTCCCTTACCCTCCCTAACCTTCCAACGGCCCAGCAATAGGTAATTAATTAAATTAAACTAAACCTCACCTTGACCTTCGGAGCATGCCCGGCCACCATCACGACCTCGTCCTCCTCCCCCTCGTCCCCCTCCTCCCATGTCTTCGCCTCACCTACATACCCCCGAGGCACCCCCGCCGCCCCCCTCCAAGGCCTACATCCTGCCCATCCAGGCCGACCGGCTCGATGCGGGGATGAAACATCATGACCACTGTACGTGTGCATCCTACAGATAGACGTACTCTGTATATACATATACGTACAGACGTACACATGGACGAAGAAAGACTAAATCTTCATGTCAGATGCCCAGCGACTGCCTCCATGGCGCAATGCCCTCCGCAATCGACTCATCCCAATCGTGCGTCTGGAGACGCCCTATCTGGCTCTTCTACAGAACAAGCTGCGCACACCGGCCCTCGACTCCTACTTTGCCTTTACCGCAAACTTAGGCACACATACCTTCTTCATGGTCATGCTGCCCATCCTCTTCTGGTGTGGATATACAAACGTGGGCCGCGCGTAGGTTTGCGCTTTTCCGAATTATTTTTATTCCCGTCATCATCATCATCATCATCATCATCATCATCATTGTCGTTGTTTTGCACAATGTGGGCTGACGGACAGGTGGCAGAATGGTCCACATGCTGGCCGCCGGTGTCTTCTGGAGCGGCTTCCTCAAAGACATGCTATGTCTGCCGCGACCGCTGTCTCCCCCTCTCTCTCGCATCACCATGTCTGGATCTGCTGCCCTCGAGTACGGATTTCCCTCGTCCCACTCGACCAATGCCGTGTCCGTGACCGTATATGCAATCCAGATGCTGCGGAACTCGCCCGAACAAGCCCACCAACATTGGTATTTTGCCGGACAGATGCTCTTCTACTTCTACGCCGTGTCCATAGTGTTTGGGAGACTCTACTGCGGCATGCACGGCCTCCTCGACGTTGTAGTGGGGTGCATTCTTGGTGCCCTCATCGCTGTAGTCCAGCTCATGTACGGCGAGAGGCTCGACACATGGCTGTTTGATGATACCTACGTAAACGTTATGATTTTGACTCTGGTAATATTCGTCCTAGTCCGCATTCACCCTGAACCCGCAGATGATTGCCCCTGTTTCGATGATAGCATGGCTTTCGCTGGCGTTGTCGTCGGTGTAAACATTGGCGCATGGCACTATGCTCGCACTGGCTTCGCCCTTGATTATCCCATCCCCTCTACAGTCCCCTTTGATTTGAAAGCCATGGGCATCGTCGTCGCCTCTCTCCGCATTCTCGTTGGAGTGGTCATCATCTTCCTCTGGAGAGCCAGCATGAAGCCAACCTTGTTCAAAGTCCTACCTCCACTCTTCCGACTTTTGGAACAAGCTCGCCTAAACCTGCCTCGCGCTTTCTTCCTGAACGCTTCGTAAGTCCTTCTCCAGTGAACGACGTGGACGAGCTGGGCTGACTGACAATTTTCCAGCAAATACACCAGTGTGCCCAAGTTATCCGGAGACGATAATGTCATTCCTCCTGCGTCAGAACTTCCGCATATGCTCAAGAGCCTCGCCCATCCTCGCAAAAGATCCGTTTCCATCGGACCTCAGTCGGCAGCCGATGCGTACGAAACCCTTGCATACCGCAACAGACGGCGAAGAGAGAGTGTCAGCTCTTTGGATGGCACTATGCCCGAGGGAGCACCGTGGTCGGCCTCGACTAAAGAGCCAATCACTCAGGTCGGGAAACCGTCGATGGGTCCAGGCCTGTTACCTACACCAATGTCCTCTCGAGTCCATTCATATGAGAAGATGTTGGAAAGACCAGAATTGGCCGCTATTACACCACCAGAATACGATGTTGACTTTGCGGGCGAAGTCGTGCAATCTCCTTTGGAGGCGGAGAATGAGAAACGTGAATTGTTCAACATGTTAACCAAGCCTCGTGTAAGATACGACGTCGAGGTGGTGACCAAGATTGTCATCTATGCAGGTATGATTTATGCTTGGAC